CTTCCTTTTCTCTTCCTATTTTCATCTTCCTTTTTCTCTTCCTTTTGCTCTTGCTCTTCCTATTGGTCTGGCTATGTTGTGCCCTTGCGGTTTCTCTTGCCTGTTTTCGGCGTTTTGTAGCATTCCACGGTCTCTCATGGTGGTCTTTGCTCCTGCAGTTTTCCGTGGCGGCTTCGTGTGTGTGGCCGATTCCTTGTCCGGTCCGTTTTGCTCGCCTTTTATTGCGTTACGCTTTTGTCTACGTAAGGACGGATGGGGTATACCTGGGGTGAAGGCTACTGGAGGAATGTGGTAAGTGGGGGACTGAGTGGGGAGGAAGTGTGTTATGGAACTGGTATGACAAAGAAGTGTGTAATGGCTGTTGAACTGAGAGAAGTGTGAATGGAACTGTGATAATGGAAGGGAAGTGTGTTATGGAACTGGTAATGATACTGAGGAAGTGGAACTGGATCAGAGAAAGGGGAACGTATGATACTGTGAGAAGTGGAACTGTATGATACTGTATACAGCAATAATTAAATAGGATGGCATTGACTAGAATACAGTATAAAAAAGTTGGCGGAGTAAGTTTGGGCTATATGGTGTCGAGTAAAGCTTAAACCATGTGTTTGAATTGTATTAGGTATGTGGTAGTTATCGTAGTTATTGTATGTAAGTATGTAGGAAGTATGTATTCGACATGAGCCGGTGAAGCACTAGCTAGCTAACCAAACTACCGGGAGGTGGAGGCGAGAGAGCTAAGCGGGTAGCTACTGGTAACTATTAGCAACTGTGGATAGTTGTTTCACGCTTGAGAGTACCTGTAATTACGCCAGCTAGCTGCCTACCATTCAGCAGTTTTTCTAACCTCATTGTCTGAAGCGTTAACGTTAGGTAGTTAGTAGCTACTGTGCTCGAAATGTAGCTAGCTTGTTGCTACCTGGATAGCTACTAAACAATAGCTGGAACGACCTAGCGAACAGACGCGAACTGGCTGAGTCGATTCAGTGGCTAGCTTTGCACTTGGCTAGCTAACAGTAGCTGCTAGGGATAAGTTATAACCTACATTTGTGTTTTGTTTTTTACATACTGGTAACCAGAGTCGTTCAAGTGAACTCGGGACATGGGTGACTAGTTAACATTAGCTTGGCTCTCTCTGTGTGTTCGTGCCGTGGGAGGAGGGGTTTCTTCGTTGGCAGAAAGCAATGGCTAGCTAGTATGCTAACTATTCTAGCTAACTAACTGGCTGAATAAGTTGACGACGGACTCGCTCAAGCTGTAGGGACTAACCCACAACGTTAGACACCGACACAAATGATCTGCTTGGCGTGTTGACACACTGGTGGTTTGTTGTGATCGAGTATTGGTGCTAAACCGTGTTGTTGGAGGCTGGCATGCCAGTTGGCTGTGGTGTCATAGGATTCGGTGCCCTGGACGGTTTTCACGGAAGAATACTGTACCAAGTTAGCTAGCTGAATAAACTAAGTTAGTCTATTCCTAGAAAACATTGAACCGCTGTAGTTTACAACAATTATAGTTTCTGAGGTGGAAGTTGGGAGAGTTATATTTGGGTGCTTCAGTGAAACGTAAGTGAGGGAGGACCCGCTCTCTCGCTTTCCCAGATGTTTAGTTCATTTCATTCCGATCTCCTTTGCATTATTGTAGCCATTTTCTGTAGCCTGTCAACGATGCGTCTGTCTATTCCTGTTCTCTCCTCTCTGCACAGGCCATACAAACGCCTCACACCGCGTGGCTGCTGCCACTCTAACCTGGTGGTCCCTGCGCGCATGACCCACGTGGAGTTCCAGGTCTCAGGCAGCCTCTGGAAATGCCGTTCTGCGGCCAACAAGGCAGAGTTCATCTCAGCCTATGCTACCCTCCAGTCTCTCGACTTCTTGGCGCTGACGGAAACATGGATTACCACTGAAAACCCTGCTACTCCTACTGCTCTCTCCTCGTCTGACCATGTGTTCTCGCATACCCCGAGAGCATCTGGTCAGCGGGGTGGTGGCACAGGAATCCTCATCTCTCCCAAGTGGACATTCTCTCTTTTTCCCCTGACCCATCTGTCTATCTCCTCATTTGAATTCCATGCTGTCACAGTCACTAGCCCATTCAAGCTTAACATCCTTATCATTTATCGCCTTCCAGGTTCCCTTGGAACAGTTCATCAATGAGCTTGACGCCTTGATAAGTTCCTTTCCTGAGGATGGTTCACCCCTCACAGTTCTGGGTGACTTTAACCTCCCTACGTCTACCTTTGACGCATTTCTCTCTGCCTCCTTCTTTCCACTCCTCTCCTCTTTTGACCTCACCCTCTCACCGTCCCCCCCTACTCACAAGGCAGGCAATACGCTTGACCTTATCTTTACTAGATGCTGTTCTTCTACTAATCTCACTGCAACTCCCCTCCATGTCTCGGACCACTACTATATATCCTTTTCTCTCTCACTCTCCTCCAACACTACTCACTCTGCCCTTACTCAGATAGTAATGCGCCGTCGCAACCTTCGCTCTCTCTCTCCCGCTACTCTCTCCTCTTCCATCCTATCATCTCTTCCCTCTGCTCAATCCTTCTCCCTCCAATCTCCTGATTCTGCCTCCTCAACCCTCCTCTCCTCCCTTTCTGCATCCTTTGACTCTCTATGTCCCCTATCCTCCCGGCCGGCTCGGTCCTCCCCTCCTGCTCCGTGGTTTAACGACTCCTTGCGAGCTCACAGAACAGGGCTCCGGGCAGCCGAGCGGAAATGGAGGAAAACTAGACTCCCTGCGGACCTGGCATCTTTTCACTCCCTCCTCTCTACATTTTCTTCCTCTGTTTCTGCTGCTAAAGCCACTTTCTACCACTCTAAATTCCAAGCATCTGCCTCTAACCCTAGGAAGCTCTTTGCCACCTTCTCCTCCCCCCCACCCCTCCTCCTCCCTCTCTGTGGATACCGTCGTCAACCATTTTGAAAAGAAGGTTGACTTTATCCGATCCTCGTTTGTTAAGTCAAATGACACTGCTGGTCCTGCTCACACTGCCCTACCCTATGCTTTGACCTCTTTCTCCCCTCTCTCTCCAGATGAAATCTTGCGACTTGTGACGGCCGGCCGCCCAACAACCTGCCCGCTTGACCCTATCCCCTCCTCTCTTCTCCAGACCATTTCCGGAGACCTTCTCCCTTACCTCACCTCGCTCATCAACTCATCCTTGACCGCTGGCTATGTCCCTTCCGTCTTCAAGAGAGCGAGAGTTGCACCCCTTCTCAAAAAACCTACACTCGATCCCTCCGATGTCAACAACTACAGACCAGTATCCCTTCTTTCTTTTCTCTCCAAAACTCTTGAGCGTGCCGTCTTTAGCCAACTCTCTTGCTATCTCTCTCAGAATGACCTTCTTGATCCAAACCAGTCAGGTTTCAAGACTGGTCATTTAACTGAGACTGCTCTTCTCTGTGTCACGGAGGCTCTCCGCACTGCTAAAGCTAACTCTCTCTCCTCTGCTCTTGTCCTTCTAGACCTGTCTGCTGCCTTTGATACTGTGAACCATCAGATCCTCCTCTCCACCCTCTCTGAGTTGGGCATCTCCGGCGCGGCTCACTCTTGGATTGCGTCCTACCTGACAGGTAGCTCCTACCAAGTGGCGTGGCGAGAATCTGTCTCCGCACCACGTGCTCTCACCACTGGTGTCCCCCAGGGCTCAGTTCTAGGCCCTCTCCTATTCTCGTTATACACCAAGTCACTTGGCTCTGTCATATCCTCACATGGCCTCTCCTATCATTGCTACGCAGACGACACACAACTAATCTTCTCCTTTCCCCCTTCTGATAACCAGGTGGCGAATCGCATCTCTGCATGTCTGGCAGACATATCAGTGTGGATGATGGATCACCACCTCAAGTTGAACCTCGGCAAGATGGAGCTGCTCTTCCTCCCGGGGAAGGACTGCCCGTTCCATGATCTCGCCATCACGGTTGACAACTCCGTTGTGTCTTCCTCCCAGAGTGCAAAAAGCCTTGGCGTGACCCTGGACAACACCCTGTCGTTCTCCGCTAACATCAAGGTGGTGACCCGATCCTGTAGGTTCATGTTCTACAACATTCGGAGAGTACGACCCTGCCTTACACAGGAAGCGGCACAGATCCTTATCCAGGCACTTGTCATCTCCCGTCTGGATTACTGCAACTCGCTGTTGGCTGGGCTCCCTGCCTGTGCCATTAAACCCCTACAACTCATCCAGAATGCCGCAGCCCGTCTGGTGTTCAACCTTCCAAAGTTCTCTCACGTCACCCCGCTCCTCCGCACACTCCACTGGCTTCCAGTTGAAGCTCGCATCTGCTACAAGACCATGGTGCTTGCCTACGGAGCTGTGAGGGGAACGGCACCTCCGTACCTTCAGGCTCTGATCAGTCCCTACACCCAAACGAGGGCATTGCGTTCATCCACCTCTGGCCTGCTGGCCCCCCTACCTCTGCGGAAGCACAGTTCCCGCTCAGCCCAGTCAAAACTGTTCGCTACTCTGGCACCCCAATGGTGGAACAAGCTCCCTCGCGACGCCAGGACGGCGGAGTCACTCACCACCTTCCGGAGACACTTGAAACCCCACCTCTTTAAGGAATACCTGGGATAGGATAAAGTAATCATTCTACCCCCCCCCCCCCCCCCCCCCCCCCCCCCCTTACACCACCACCCAAAAAAAAAAAACATATTGTAAAGTGGTTATCCCACTGGCTATAAGGTGAATGCACCAATTTGTAAGTCGCTCTGGATAAGAGCGTCTGCTAAATGACGTAAATGTAAATGTAAGTGTGTAATGGAACTGTATGATACTGAGAGAAGTGGAACTGTATGATACTGAGAGAAATGTGTAATGGAACTGTATGATACTGGGAGAAGTGTGTAATGGAACTGCCGTATGATATGTGGAAGGTAAATAAGTGTTTAACAATACCTACATAGGGAGGCTCGAGGTCTTTGACACCAAAAGGCAAAGAGTCGATGGAGTTACGAGCAATGGGGATATTGCCTTGATAACATAGCTACTCACCAATAAATCCAGGTGCACAGAAACAATTGTAGCCGTTGATGGTGTCTTTGCAAATACTTAGAACACCGCACGGCTTCTCTTCACAGTCGTCTGTGTTCACCTCGCAGAATTGTCCCGTTAAACCTGCATGAAGAAGAAATGAATGAGACTAGTGGTTTTTGACCCTCTGAATTAAGGGGTGGAATAATGGGGGAATCATTTTGACATGTAATAATGTGTTTTTTAGTTAAATTCCTAGAACGTTCTATTGGCAGTTCACTGCGTGACATTATCCCAGTACTAAATACCTCTTTATCAAACATTACTCATCTCTCTGGGATGCTATTGGCTCCATAACCCACTAACACACCTTTCTATTGGCTCCTTAACCAACTAACACACCTTTCTATTGGCTCCTTAACCCACTAACACACCTTTATATTGGCTCCTTAACCCACTAACACACCTTTCTATTGGCTCCTTAACCCACTAACACACCTTCTATTGGCTCCTTAACCCACTAACACACCTTTCTATTAGCTCCTTAACCCACTAACACACCTTTCTATTGGGTCCTTAACCACTAACACACCTTTCTATTGGCTCCTTAACCCACTAACATAACTTTCTATTAGCTCCTTAACCCACTAACATACCTTTCTATTAGCTCCTTAACCCACTAACACACCTTTCTATTGGGTCCTTAACCACTAACACACCTTTCTATTGGCTCCTTACCCACTAACACACCTTTCTATTAGCTCCTTAACCCACTAACACACCTTTCTATTGGGTCCTTAACCACTAACACACCTTTCTATTGGCTCCTTACCCACTAACACACCTTTCTATTGGCTCCTTAACCCACTAACATACCTTTCTATTGGCTCCTTAACCCACTAACACACCTTTCCATTGGCTCCTTACCCACTAACACACCTATATTGGCTCCTTAACCACTAACACACCTTTCTATTGGCTCCTTACCCACTAACACACCTTTCTATTAGCTCCTTAACCCACTAACACACCTTTCTATTGGGTCCTTAACCACTAACACACCTTTCTATTGGCTCCTTACCCACTAACACACCTTCTATTGGCTCCTTAACCCACTAACACACCTTTCTATTGGCTCCTTAACCCACTAACACACCTTTCTATTGGCTCCTTAACCCACTAACACACCTCTATTAGCTCCTTAACCCACTAACACACCTTTCTATTGGCTCTTTACCCACTAACACACCTTTCTATTGGCTCCTTAACCCAAAAACACACATTCTATTAGCTCCTTAACCCACCTTACTATTGGCTCCTTAACCCACTAAGACACCTTATATTGGCTCCTTACCCACTAACACACATTTATTTTGGCTCCTTAACCCACTAACACACCTTTCTATTGGCTCCTTACCCCACTAACACACCTTTCTATTGGCTCCTTAACCCACTAACACACCTTTCTATTGGCTCCTTACCCACTAACACACATTCTATTGGCTCCTTAACCCACTAACACACCCTTCTATTGGCTCCTTAACCCACTAACACACCTTTCTATTGGCTCCTTACCCACTAACACACCTTTCTATTGGCTCCTTACCCACTAACACACCTTTCTATTGGCTCCTTACCCACTAACACACATTTATATTGGCTCCTTACCCCACTAACACACCTTCTATTGGCTCCTTAACCCACTAACACACCTGTCTATTGGCTCCTTACCCCACTAACACACCTTTCTACTGGCTCCTATCTACTGCTTAACTTAAGCCACTATCATACCTGATTCAATTGGTCAACTACTCACCAAAGCCTTTATCAGTTCAATCAGGTGTTCTAGTTTTAGTATGAAATAAGTGGGACGGCTGGGGGTACTTGAGGAGAGGTTTAGGAAACAGTGCATTAATATTTAGTATTCAGTCATCCTAAATGCAGGGACAAGACCCTGAAATAAATATAAACATCACCACAGGTTTCAGTAACAAGGAGCCAATGTCTTACAGGGCAACGCACGCACGCGCACTCCAAACACGCACACACACCCCATTAAAATCACCCCCCCCTGGTTCTTTGTTCCTGGTGATTAGCTTACCGGGTAAACAATGACACTTGAATCCTCTCGGTAGATCCACACACTTTGATCCGTGATGACACAGCCCATCCACGCAGTGACTTATGGGGATTTCGCACAGCCGTCCCATGTACCCGTGTTGGCAGACGCAACTGAAGCCGTTCGCCAGCTCTTCACAGAACAGGGTCCCCTCCGGGTCACAGGGATTCAACACACACTGGTTCACGGGTGCAGAGCAGTCATGGGCTCCCCATCCTGTATGCATTGGGGTTTGGATCAAAGAGCTGATTGATGTCTGTGTGTGTTGAATAGGAGCTGTGTTCTGTGTTCTATTCTTCTAGCCACACCACTTCTGTCACACAGGCTTGGATTTGCATTTCTCAAGACGCTCCTGTCATTGCAAGACGTTTTTCCTTTATAATTTCTGCTTTACATATGTTAGGTTTTTCTTAGTTAGATAGAGGCCCTTAGCCAGTGGAAATACTAGGAAATAGGATTTGATAGAGGCCCTTAGACAGTGGAAATACAAATATAGTCCAACCACCAACCTACATATAGGAATTGAGGGGAGTTTGTATTTTCCTACATGTATAATTAGACACTCATTCAAGTAATGCATGGCTTTGGTCGACTACTCTCTATTATGATCTGGTGGATGTTATTTAAATTAGGTTTGGTAATAATAGGGCGCACACAGAGTCATCAATAACAATAACAGAGTCTCTCTTTGCCAGCGTCCCAAATGACACCCTATTCCCTATACTACTTTTGACCAGAGCCATATGGGGCCATTTAGGACTCAGTCTTTTACTACCGAATTTACAAAAGAGATTAATGTAGAATAAACAACAAGAGCGTCTAAAAACAACCGGAGGGCCTTAATGAATAAATCGCTTAAACAGTGATTGCGTACAAAGATGGAGGCATAATACTAATTTGACTTCAATGGATTACAGATATAAGATCTTAATTTGATCACCCTGTTGCAGGATAACTTTCCTGAAATGCAGGAAATAAAAAAACGAGGTGTTTTGTGGTTTCATGTACCTTAAGCAGAGCCAGATAACAATATATCAACAGGATTAATCACCCAGATGCAGGTATTTTGTAACTTTACTGTAAGCTAAACTCTTAGAGAAAATGGTTCTAAAGGGTTGGAGGGAGAAGGGGTTGTAGATGGAACCTTGGAACCAAGGAGGTCCTTCTGAAGAAAGGGTTCTAAAAAAGAACCAGAAGGGTTTCTACAGGGGCAAGTCAAAGAAGCATTTCTGGTTGTAGGTAGGACCTTGTTTTCTCAGAGTAAACAGTAGTTTTCAGTACAGTGCAGTATCTGATGATTAAATGACAACCTTTACCTGATGGACAAGTGCAGTGAACCACTCCAGCAAAGATATAACAGGTGCCGCCATTTTTGCATTTTGTCCTATCCCCTGACGCACATTCAATAACAGGTGTAGAGCAGTTTTTATCTGGAAAAGTCAAACAAAAACATTTTCAGAAGGACAAATACAACAAAACCACTGGGAACAACCAACATCACATCATTATTGTACAACAGAACCACTGTGCACAACCAACATCACATCATCACATCACAAGTGTTCATGGAACCTTGTACATTACACAAATTGTACCAGATATTTCCAAGTTGTCCCAGATTTCCTGTAAACATCATGACGTCATACAAACATTTGGCAAAAAACACATCCTAGTGTGTAACCGGCTTTATTGAAATGAGGCACAGAATGAATTCAGAATGGGTCACAATGATGATCAGACAGTGTGAGGCGACGCAGTGACAGCAGTATGACAGTACGACAGTAGTGTGACTGAATCACATACAGAAAGCTAGTGATACTGCAACAGGAGTCACATGATGCATCCCAAAATACACCCTATTCCCTTATAGTCTCTCTCTCTCTAAGATGTCCTGACCTAGTTGGTGTTAGGTGAGGTCCTGACCTAGTTGGTGTTAGGTGAGGTCCTGACCTAGTTGGTGTTAGGTGAGGTCCTGACCTAGTTGGTGTTAGGTGAGGTCCTGACCTAGTTGGTGTTAGGTGAGGTCCTGACCTAGTTGGTGTTAGGTGAGGTCCTGACCTAGTTGGTGTTAGGTGAGGTCCTGACCTAGTTGGTGTTAGGTGAGGTCCTGACCTAGTTGGTGTTAGGTGAGGTCCTGACCTAGTTGGTGTTAGGTGAGGTCCTGACCTAGTTGGTGTTAGGTGAGGTCCTGACCTAGTTGGTGTTAGGGTGAGGGTCCCTGACCTAGTTGGTGTTGGTTAGGTCCTGACCTATTGGTGGTTAGGTGACCGTCCTGACGCTAGTTGGGTGGTTAGGTGAGGTCCTGACCTAGTTGGTGTTAGGTGAGGTCCTGACCTAGTTGGTGTTAGGTGACGTCCTGACCTACAGTGGGGAAAAAAAGTATTTAGTCAGCCACCAATTGTGCAAGTTCTCCCACTTAAAAAGATGAGAGAGGCCTGTAATTTTCATCATAGGTACACGTCAACTATGACAGACAAAATGAGAAAAAAAATCCAGAAAATCACATGTAGGATTTTTATGAATTTATTTGCAATTATGGTGGAAAAAAAGTATTTGGGTCAATAACAAAAGTTTCTCAATACTTTGTTATATACCCTTTTGTTGGCAATGACACAGGTCAAACGTTTTTCTGTAAGTCTTCACAAAGGTTTTTCACACACTGGTGGCTGGTATTTTGGGCCCATTCCTCCATGCAGATCTCCTCTAGAGCAGTGATGTTTTGGGGCTGTCGCTGGGCAACACGGACATTCAACTCCCTCCAAAGATTTTCTATGGGGTTGAGATCTGGAGACTGGCTAGGCCACTCCAGGACCTTGAAATGCTTCTTACGAAGCCACTCCTTCGTTGCCCGGGCGGTGTGTTTGGGATCATTGTCATGCTGAAAGACCCAGCCACGTTTCATCTTCAATGCCCTTGCTGATGGAAGGAGGTTTTCACTCAAAGTCTCACGATACATGGCCCCATTCATTCTTTCCTTTACAACGGATCAGTCGTCCTGGTCCCTTTGCAGAAAAACAGCCCCAAAGCATGATGTTTCCACCCCCATGCTTAACAGTAGGTATGGTGTTCTTTGGATGCAACTCAGCATTCTTTGTCCTCCAAACACGACGAGTTGAGTTTTTTACCAAAAAGTTCTATTTTGGTTTCATCTGACCATATGACATTCTCCCAATCCTCTTCTGGATCATCCAAATGCACTCTAGCAAACTTCAGACGGGCCTGGACATGTACTGGCTTAAGCAGGGGGACACGTCTGTCACTGCAGGATTTGAGTCCCTGGCGGCGTAGTGTGTTACTGATGGTAGGCTTTGTTACTTTGGTCCCAGCTCTCTGCAGGTCATTCACTAGGTCCCCCCGTGTGGTTCTGGGATTTTTGCTCACCGTTCTTGTGATCATTTTGACCCCACGGGGTGAGATCTTGCGTGGAGCCCCAGATCGAGGGAGATTATCAGTGGTCTTGTATGTCTTCCATTTCCTAATAATTGCTCCCACAGTTGATTTCTTCAAACCAAGCTGCTTACCTATTGCAGATTCAGTCTTCCCAGCCTGGTGCAGGTCTACAATTTTGTTTCTGGTGTCCTTTGACAGCTCTTTGGTCTTGGCCATAGTGGAGTTTGGAGTGTGACTGTTTGAGGTTGTGGACAGGTGTCTTTTATACTGATAACAAGTTCAAACAGGTGCCATTAATACAGGTAACGAGTGGAGGACAGAGGAGCCTCTTAAAGAAGAAGTTACAGGTCTGTGAGAGCCAGAAATCTTGCTTGTTTGTAGGTGACCAAATACTTATTTACCACCATAATTTGCAAATAATTCATAAAAAAACCTACAATGTGATTTTCTGGATTTTTTTTCCTCAATTTGTCTGTTATAGTTGACATGTACCTATGATGAAAATTACAGGCCTCTCTCATCTTTTTAAGTGGGAGAAAATGCACAATTGGTGTCTGACTAAATACTTTTTTTCCCCACTGTAGTTGGTGTTAGGTGAGGTAACCAACTAGGTCAGGACCTCACCTAACACCAGACTGTCAGGACCTCACCTAACACCAACTAGGTCAGGACCTCACCTAACACCAACTAGGTCAGGACCTCACCTAACACCAACTAGGTCAGGACCTCACCTAACACCAACTAGGTCAGGACCTCACCTAACACCAACTAGGTCAGGACCTCACCTAACACCAACTAGGTCAGGACCTCACCTAACACCAACTAGGTCAGGACCTCACCTAACACCACTAGGTCAGGACCTCACCTAACACCAACTAGGTCAGGACGTCACCTAACACCAACTAGGTCAGGACCGTCACCTAACACCAACTAGGTCAGGACCTCACCTAACACCAACTAGGTCAGGACCTCACCTAACACCAACTAGGTCAGGACCTCACCTAACACCAACTAGGTGAGGCCCCCTGCCACGCCCACCACCTAAGCCACTTTTTGATCCAGGAAAAACCCTGAAAAGGTGCCTGAAGAAGTCCTGCATCATCATCAAGGACCTCACACACCCAGCCACGAGCTGTTCTCTCCCTTACCGTCGGGCAGACGGTATCGGAGCAGGAGGTCTGATATCAACAGGCTCAGAGACTGTTACTATCTGCAAGCCATCAGACTGCTGAATACTTGAACTGGACTGACCACCTGCACTGACTCTAAGCACCTTAGCACACATGCACTCACTCACTCACAGACCCACACAGACACACATCCACACAGACACATATCCACACAGACACACACAGACACATATCCACACATATCCACACACACACACACACACACACACACACACACACACACACACACCACAACTGCTGCTACCAGACTATTACTATGATTGCTAAATACTGCACAATTTAAACACTTGCCCCCCAATCCCCCCTTCCCTAAAACACATGTAAATATTGGACTATAAATGGTTCCTTCCTGTATTCTACTGATGCTAACATGTTTATTCTATTCTACTGAGACATTTACTTTATGTTCCTATTCTTATCTTTTATTACTGCTTATTGTTGTTGCATTGTCCAGAAGGAATCTGCAAGTAAGCATTTCATTGGACGGTGTCTACCATGTGTATCCTGTACATACGACTAATAAAACTTGAATGTAAGGATGGAATGCAGAATAAACATGAACTAGATGTACTGTAAGTGTTGGAGCCTGGCATAATATGTCTGCCAGAGATCATCCGTACTCCACACAGGATTGTAAGAGTATTAT